CTACTGGGGAGACTCTGAAGGGTTGAGAGAAATGATGTGGAGGCTGCATTAGAAGGAGGAAGGCAAGAGGCAGGAAGATCTTTCTGGTCTTGTGGGAACAGGGACACAGGTGTAGAGGTGGGGCCCTTCAGAAGCTCCTAGCCTAATTGAGGGGAAAAAGGTGGTTTACAAAGTTGACTTGTTCAGTGGTGGGTTAGACATTCAGGGAAATAAGAGATCTGAAAGGACTGAGTCCTCAGGAAAGACTTCAGAGAGGGCTAGGACGGATCAGATAGACGCAGGGAATGGGGGAGTGCGCCTCCTTCTCGGGAGGCCTTCGCAGCAACACCTGCCACCCGAGGGTAAGGCAGTAAAAGCAGTTAGACCTGTGCCTGGCATACAGTAAGAGTTCGCTACTCTAGTAATGTAAGTTCCACGAGAGCAGGATTTGTATCTGTTCTGTTCACTGTAGTATCACCTGTGCTTAGAACTCAGGAGCTGCTTCAGTAAATATTTATGGAATGAATAAATCACTGTAACTCTCAATGACTCTTTTTAGCTATTTAATTTGTATTGTGCAAATACAGGCAAAGAGCTGGACCTCTCACACTGGTCTGTCAATTCATTTATTACACTAAAGTGTATTTTTTTTTTTTTTAAAGCAGCAGCTATCCTTACTGTTTATTGCTGGAAACAGTTTTGTGGTAAGTCAGAGGTAATGGCAAAAAAGGAAAAAGAGGAGAAGAAAACAACGTTAATGATCCTAAAGATAGCCACTCGAAAATAATTCACTAACTTACTTTAAAAATACTTATTAAATTGCAACAATGTTCTGGAGGTCCAAGGGTGAGCAAAATAGACACGGTTGCTGCCTGAGGGGCCGTTGACATTGGAACTGGTAATTCCAAGCGTAAAGTACGTAACCTACAGATATGCAAGTGCCATGGAAACTTAAGTAAGGACATTTAACCAGATGGTGTCCCTGAGGAAGAAACAAGTCCTGTGACAAAATACTCCCAAACTTAGTGTCTTAAAACAGTTTATTGCCACTCACCATTCTGGGCTCCCTAGGCTCAAAGGGACAGTTCTCAGCTGGGATCTCCTATGAGTTGCAGTTAGACACTGGCTGGGGCTGGAATCCTCTGCAAGCTTGACTGGGCTGTCATCCAAGACGGCTTCTCCACACACGTGCCTGATGCCCACCTGCTGCGCATGACCTCTCTTTCTAGCAGACAGCCTTACTTCCTAGATAACAGCGTAGAGCTCCCAGAGACAGGAAGAGGAAGCTGCCAGGCCAGGTAAGGGCTGTACCTCAAATGGGCACAGCATCATTTCCGCCACACTCTATTGATCAAAACATCACAAATCCTGCCCAGATTCAAGGGAGTGGAAAAATAAAGTCAGTTCTGGACGGAGGAGGAACAGGATCTCACTGCAGAAAAGCATGTGGCATAGAATTTGTTGTGGCCATCTTTAGAGAATACAACTCTGTCACTTGATGTTAGGTCCAAGGATAATTTGGCATTAGATACATAAAAGAGAGAGAGGGAGGGTAACCCCTCCAGCAAGGAGAACAGATTGTGGACAGGACTGGAAGTCAAAAAGGTAAACCTTAGAGTCCCTCGGAAGAACTGAAAGGCCCGTGTGACTGAGTGGATGAAGACGAGGAAGAGTGTCAGGAAAATGCTGGGTCTCATGGAAAAGAGGAGAAGTTTTTAGGGTATGATTTTTAGGGTATGATCATCACTAGTGATGATTAGAAGGTTAAATGTGTTATTTCTATCAGAAAGGAGGGGGAATAGCTGCATAAGTTCCAAACAGAGGCAATGGAAAGCACTAAATAGTGAAAATTAAAATTCCTATAATGGGACGTACTGGTTAGCCTAGAGAAGGACTTGGAGCGGAGTGGGTGTGGGTCAGGGAAATCTTGCCCCAAATCACGTAGCTCATATGAGACAATTGGGAGTTGAACCCAGAACTAACCCTGGAGCTCAGACCTTTCCACTATATTGCTCACCACATCGCCTATGGAAAGTCATATAATAAACTTGAAAATTCCTTGCTAATAAAAGTAACTTACTCTTTCTAATTTGTTCCTAGCTTTTCAGGCCCATACCTTCTAAATTTCTTAGACTCAACTCAACTTTTTTTTTTTTTATATAAGGTTTTATTTATTTATTTGAGAGAGAGAGAGAGCAAAAGAATGGGAGAGAGAAGGCATGAGAGGGGAGAGGTCAGAGGAAGAAGAAGGACTTGATCCTGAGACTCCAGGATCATGACCTAGGCCGAGGCAGTTGCTTAACCAACTGAGCCATCCAGGCGCCCCCAAAGGGCACCTTCTTTTGAAGACTTTCCTAATGCATACAGAAGTGATCATGTGATCTCATAATCCCTTGGCCTCAATGTCCCCTTCTGTGAAAGGTTGGAGTTGGAGGGATGACTTCAGAGTTCCCTTCCTTGTCTAACAGTGTCTGGTTTAGGATGTGTGGGGTAACAGTGTCCCACAAGCTAGCAGCGATGGCCATCAGTGGTTATATGCTTCTAACCAGCCTATGAGTATTTCAGCTGAGAGCACAAAGAGTATATTTCTAGACATTTTGATTTAAAATAAGAAAAAAATCACTTTGAAGTATGTACTCTCTCTATTATGATTACAGACTGAATTTTAAGCACGGGGTAAGGAAAGGAAGGTGAGTGATACAATCTTAGATGAATAACTAACTGCTCTGCACCTTGGTGCCTCTTCTATAAAATGGGAAACTTATGTTAAAAAAAAACAAAATTTGATGGGGCGCCTGGGTGGCTCAGTGGGTTAAAGCCTCTGCCTTCAGCTCGGGTCATGATCCCAGGGTCCTGGGATCAAGCCCCACATCGGGCTCTCTGCTCAGCAGGGAACCTGCTTCCTCCTCTCTCTCTGCCTGCCTTTCTGCCTACTTGTGATCTCTGTCTGTCAAATAAATAAATAAATAAATCTTTAAAAAACAAAAAACAAAAAACAAAATTTGAGTGATTAAACTTGAAGATCAGTTTGGCTGCATTCAACAATTTATGAATCAGATGACATCCCATATAGTAAATAGAAGGCACTACAACCTTTCTTTGGGGAAAGGGCAGGGATCTATCAATCAGATTACCTCACTAGTGCTGATCAGGTAATTCCAGATTTACTGGTGAAAGGTCACATTCCCACAAAAGGCTAAAAGTACTGAGGCTGAGATTAGCTATAATCTTGATTTGCTGATGTGGGGCTTTGCACAAGTGACTCCATTTTGAGTCCATTATTATTATTATTATTATTATCATTGCTTACACTTTATTATGTTTATTTGAAATTTTGGTAAAGAAATAAAGTTTTATGATTTATTATGTATTTCTTTTTCATAGCCTCTGATGTAGAAGATGAAACTAAAAATCCTGTGTTTCAAAATTACAGAAGTAGTAAAACCCTGTTGCACAATTCAAGAGGCTCAGGGCTTAACTGTAAACACAGGAAAAGAAACCCTGTTTGCAACTATTATAACTGATGTTTATCTCTAAAAGTCAATCAGTGCCTTACTGCATAAGGACTAACATAATAAGTATCAAAATATAAAATGTAGACAAGTTCATAGTCATTATCACTTCACAAGAGGTTAACCACAGAGTTCCTGTAAACTGCAAACCTGTTGACACATTTTATTTTTTTAATTTTTTTTAAAGATTTTATTTATTTATTTGACAGACAGAGATCACAAGTAGGCAGAGAGGCAGGCAGAGAGAAAGAGAGAGGGCGAAGCAGGCTCCCTGCTGAGCAGAGAGCCCGATGCAGGGTTTGATCCCAGGACCCTGGGATCATGACCTGAGCTGAAGGCAGAGGCTTTAACCCACTGAGCCACCCAGGCGCCCCTGTTGACACATTTTAAAATGAAGGGCTATATATACTAGTTTAATTTACATATATTAAGCAATGTAGATTGGTACTGTTGATTTAAATTTAATGGTTAATGACCTAAGTGCTAAAAATGATTTTAATGAACCATAAGATCGTGCAGTTTTAAACAAAAAAAACCACATCTATGAACCTTCACAGGAACATGCAGAGCTGTTGCTAACTGCCTAATATTACCTACTTGTAAGTAGTTAAGGGCAAAAAAGCCCCTTGCATAGTTGTTTTGTTGGTTCATTTTTTGGGTGCAAACACGAAGTTGTATGTGACTGTTGAGCACATGGATTGTAATAGTGTGACTGAGAAACTTCATTTGATTTTTATTATAAATTGAAATAGTTGTATATGGCTAGTGTCTACCATATTGGACAGCATCACTGTCAAGGTCTGTGCTAATTAGGCCTGAACTTGGAGATCTCATCTTTCCCAGAGATAACGAGTTAGTGCTCATGAAGGGTATTTTCTGCCCAACCTTGAGGCTCAACCTGTACTCCTAGACCAATCCTGAAAACGTCTGGGAGTTTGGAGCCTGAAGCCTTTCTTTCAAGCTGACTGGAGGAATTCTGAAGTCCAGAGGCATTTACATAATCCAAGCCTGAGAAACACAAACACAATAGCATTTGGGTTTAATAAAAGGGCAGAGCCTCCCTGGGTACTTCCCCCTTGTGCTTTTTAGCCTGACAAACCATCAGTGCTTTCAAAGTTTGTGAAAGAACTCATGTATTTGTGACTTTTAGACTGATTACGGTATAGGCCCAGACACAGATTTCTTAGTCTCTTTGCTTACATTTTAGGTCCACATATCACAGAGACTTGCCAGGACAGTCTTTTCACAACTGCTCTCAAAGGCTTTTCTGTATGAGTAAAAGTTGTTGACCTTAATTCCCTTTATCAAGTGTTCTACCCTGCTCTGCGTAGGTTCTAACACAAAGCGGGTAGTGATGTGTACTCTTGACAATGGAACTCCTGTGTAGGTGTTGGCCACCTCTGGGCATGTCTGCCATTGAAGAGATGTAAAGATGGGGAAGTTGCTGGGCAGTTTCGTGTACCATAGAATACAGTGAACCGTGTGTCAATGTTGTGCTATTCTTTTCTTCCAGGAAATCAAGGATTGCATGGCGTTGCTTTGACAAGCACTTCCTGTTATCTTTACGGAGATCTCAATGAAGAATAATCTCGAAGGAGCATTTGTCTTCGTGTACTTCTGCCCCATTAGCTGCTAGCAAATGCTTTTAATGACTGAAAAAACATCAACTATCCTTGTGCTCGGCCTGCTCTCGGCAGTCAAATGAAGGTTTCTTTCAGTTGTTTCCAGAACTCTATTGCTGAAGCACCGCTCTCTTTGTTGGGTGAATGAATGTTCATGAAGCCCTTTCCTGAGCCAGTGGAGGAGCCTTAGGCTTCGTGAAGCCTGCGATATGGAAGCTTTGGAAGTGGATGATATCAGCCCCGCCTTGGAAGTTACTGAGGATTTCTTTAGTACTTTTGACAGTAAGCTAGAAAAGGCTGTGCAGCAAGCTGAGGTTTATGGGATTCAGGAAGTCCCTGAATTGGTGGGGCACGAGGTACTCACTAACATAACAGACAATGGTGCTATCAGACATGTTGCGTCCCTGGGCAAGGGGGGCCTGCTTTGGGACCACTGTAAGAGCAGGCTCTTAGAAACCAAAGCTCAGAATGTCTTCCCTGCCAAAGAACAGTTTATGGTTCAGAAAGGGACAGCCCCAGATAATCTTTCCTGGATGGAACAAAAGGAAGCATCGACCTTTAACTTTTTCAACGTGTGTCAGCGTCGGAGGGACAGGCCTCGTTCCGTCAATGACTTATTGGATGAGACCTCTACTTTTAAGCCGGGTCATACTCGGTCAAGGTCAGATGTCACCCAGGTGGACTGGAGGCTAGTCCTCCAAACCATGCCTCTGCAGCAGCAGCCACCGTGTCTCCGGGGCCCTCATTTCACCAGGCCCGCTTTTCTGTCGTCCTCACCAAACAAGGTCGAAGATGCTCAAGGGAATACTGGTATGTTTTTATATCTGATGCTGTTGAACGATGGTTGACTTTCTTTTGTCTCTCTTACCTTTACCTCAGGAGCGGCGTACTCTCCGATGTCCCTGTCCGGTTTTGCTTACTTAATAAGCTCCCTCTTCAATTTGCTTTCACCTTTTTCCTGAAGCCTCATTCTTGGTGTCTTCATAAGAAGTGCTGAGTAAAAAGATGACTATGGTTAACTCTCCGTTTCTAATTGTGTATGTTAGAATCTGCGTGGGCTCGTAATTCATGTAGTATTTGCCTTTGTCCAGAGTTTGATAGTGCTTGTCCACATCAGTAGATGTTCATCTGATCACACACGGGGCATGGCCTTGTGCTACGACGCGATTAAAAATGTGTAAAGATACCATCCCTGGCTTAAAGAACTTTTCACTTAAGGCAAGGGGAACAGACACTAACACACACTCAGGAAGGTACCAGGAGTGAGAGGAAATAGACGTCAACTGAAATATTTGTGAGGGAGCTTTTGTTTTACTTTGTATTGTTGGAACTTGTTTCAATGAGCAAGTGACAGTGACTGTGAGAGGACAGAGGAGGAAGGAAGATACTGTGCCGGGTTTGTTAGGAAAGGCTCATGAGAGTTTATGGAGTTTCAGCTGGCCCATGAAAGACTCGAAGATGCAGAAAGGGGTTTGCGGTAGAGGACACTGGGTCAAGAGTACAGTGGGAACCGAGGTGAAGAGATGAGAGGTGCAGGGGGAGCAGGGGATCCCATGGAGGCTAGTAGGAAAAGGTGGGAGAGGTTGGTTCAGACCTTGTGGTGTGGGGCCCTCAATTTCTTTTTTTCCCTCATACTTCATGCACGTACATATGTACATGAATTCTGTGAGGCGTGACAAACCATCTCGTCATTTCTCCGAGAGTTTTCTTTTAGCTATCTTAAATATTTAATAATATTACTGTTGCTAATTAAATTTGAAACTCATTGGGGCACCTGGGTGGCTCAGTGGTTAAGTGTTAGCCTTTGGCTCAGGTCGTGATCCTGGGATCAACCCCGCATTAGACTCCCTGCTAGGCCGGAGGTCTGCTTCTCCCTCTCCCCCTGCTTCTCCCCCTACTCAGGCATACTCTCTCTCTGTCTCTCTCTCTCATTCCTCAAAAAAGTAAATAAAATCTTAAAAATAAATAAATAAATAAATAAATAAATAAATTTGAAAATCATCCATGGCAATCAAGGAGACACTACCAATCACTCCTACTTTTCTCTGCTGTACTCTCTTTTATAAAAGGGCCTCACAGTAAGTATTTCTTAAATTGGCTTCCGAAGTGTGCTTTCTCATGAATGGCTTTGTTAGTGGGAAGTAAACCATTCATTCCCTCCCTCCCTCTGATTGGTGATCAGCTGTTTACTGTCTTCTGCCGATCACTGAGAAAGGGACTGTTTCTTATTGTTTTATCCTCAGTACGTTACGTGGTGCTCTGAACGTAGTTTCTGCTCAAAAAAATTGTTTAAACTGTGAAATGAATGTAATTCTGATAAGCTGATAAGTTAACAACAATAACTTCTTTAGGCAGTTTGCGTCTTTCTAGAAAAGAACTCCACCCTCTTTTCCCTCCACCCTCGTGCCATCATCTAGCATTTCACACCTTGCACATCCCCTCTGTGGAGCTCTTTAGCAGCAGTGAAAAATGAAGATTTGCTTTCATCTCAAAGGCTGCCCTGCACTATCCTTGTGATAAGAGAAAATCAAACAGATATGGCTTATAAAGTGGCCCCTCCCATTGGCAGAATGTTGCCCTGGCCTTGGAGGAGTATCCAGATACCTCGCAGACTCCTGGGTTGCCTGGGTACAGTTAGGATTCCCTTTTGTGGAAGAATCTGACCGCTGCTTGGTGAGCACGAAGCCTGGTGTGATAATTGGGCTTTGCCCTTTAGTCTTTCTGAAGTTGGCAATCATTTGAAGTAATTCTGAAGTAACTTTGCATCACTCCTCAACTCTTCCTCATTTTCCGATAGTGTTTCTTTAAAGAAAATGATTGCTTTGGATTTGAAGATCATTTCTTCCCTAGCTTCTTGCTTGGGATATATAAGAGCAGAGCACATCAAACAGACTAGGAGCCTACTTGTCACTCTCAGAACCAACACCTGAGCACCCAGTGTGTTGTCCTCGGAGTGAGAGAGCCCAGTTCCGGGAGGAGGAGGAGAATATGGTGGCAATAACAGTGGGCACTGACTAATTTTAAGTTCCTTACAAGTAGCAGCTTATTTAATTCATATAATACTCCTGCAATATGGATATTTTTACTGACCCCATTTTGAGGGTGGTGAAACACAGAGATGGTGAGGCACAGAGAGCTTAAGTAATATGCTTAGAGTCCCATAGCTGGTGCGGGGTGGATCCTTGATTTGAATGTGGGCAGCCTCTCCAGAGTCCACGCTCTTAACCACTAAGCTGGAGCTGTACCTTTACATTGGAAGCCAGTAGTTCTTGGTCTCCAGCACCCTCTGCTTTGAAAGCCTTATTAGCAGTCAGGCCTGTGCATGTAGAAGATGGGAAGTGGTGTGGAAGAGAGACCTGGATGATGATCACGGAATTAAAATTAATCCCTCAGGAGATCACCAGCGGGGAAAGACCAAGAACCATAAAGCGCCCTAGCTAAACAAGGATTCATTTTTGCATTTAACAAATTCACTAAAGTACATGGACATTGCAGAACTGGCCACAGTGCTTTAGGGGACCAGCGAGTCCACGGAAGGAAGACTGTAACTTTCCCTTCATACTCCTGAACACTGGCTATACAGAAGAGCTTAAGTGAGGTGACCCCATGGATTTGTAACTATGGAAAGAGGGCTTTGGGGTTTTATTTGATCTTTGGCTATCTTTTTCAGTCTTACTTAGAAGCCTATGGATGGATGTATTCTAGAAATTTTATTGCCTCAGGCACTGACAGACCCAGGACAGGCTTCTTACAAGGAAATGTTGCCAGTGCTAAGTAGATGAAGGTTATGGTCAGTGGGTCTACCAGGTTGATGGATTGTGGCTTGAATCCAACCCAGCTAAGACTGTCCGCAGTATCTGAGCAAGGGATAGTAATGTTGAAAAGGTTAGGTCATAAATCACCGGGAAGCATGAGATCTAAGGCAAGATGGAAACAGAGGTGGGCCCCCCCCAACTTTATTGAAGTATAATTTGCAAAGTTGGAAGGCATTATTTAAAGTGTATGTTGGAATGATTTGATATACATGTACTTTGTAGAAGGAGTTCCCTGTCTAGTTAGTTAGCACGTCCTTCACTTGACATCAGAGGCAGTTATTTCTAAAAATTCTCAGGACAGGTAGTGGACACAAAGCTTCCTCATGGTCAGCTCCTTTCCTTACTGCCATGCCCTGGGCAGCCCGTAGCAAGGTATGAGAGGGAACTAGGCTTGGGGGACAGTCCTAGTTCTCCCACCAGGATGGATCGTTGCTAGTCCTAGCACCGATCTTTGTTCTGTACACACAGACTCTCGGGCCAATATCTGTAGTTAACCCTTCCCCCTTTATATGACTATCATCCTGTTCTTATTTAATGAGTAATAATACAGCCATAGGTGGCAGCGAATTCCCCATGAGACCGGAAGACAGGGTCCTAACATCTTAGAATTATAATCCAAATGTAAATATGAATTAAGGTAAGAACATAGAAAGTCATATGAACATGCGGATGCTAGATATGTTACCAATATGAAAGATAGATCACACATACACACAGACTTAGACCTATAAACACTGTGGCCAGTTCTACACATGGTAGAGGAAGGTGAGGGGTGTGTGGAAAGAACAGTCAGTTAAGACTCACTGTGTAGGTTTGGAAAAATTACTTGTCTGTTGGTTTTGATTAAAAACCTAGTGAAGCAGGTTAAATTGTCTCTAAGACCCTCCCAAATCTAAAATTTTATCATTTTAAGATATATTTGAACTGACCTTGACTCATGGTTGTATAGGAGCTAATTAACTATAGTCAGATTGGTAAATCATGGAAATATGTGTATGGTTGAAATTATTTAACACAGAAGAATTTCTGTGTGCCTTGTAACTAACTCTACTTTTGGGTGAACTGCTGTGGTTGCAATTTTTAAAATCTTTTTTTTTTTTTTAAGAAATCCTTTGCATTAACTATGGAGCTCTGAAACTCAACAGACTGCCAGAGTCTGACTTCCTTATCCCCCCTGATTGTGTTCACATTTTCATCTGCTTGGCAAGGGCAGTGGTCAGCTGGGCTTTTGTGTCAGTTGGTCTCACTCTCCGGTGACCTGGTACCATTTCTATGCCTGTATCTTCTTGTTCTAAGTACTTTAGGAGAAGGTCTCAAGCAGAGATTTTCTTTAGAGCTAGAAAGACCATGGCAGTATGATTTTTTTTTTTTTATCTTGAGTTTTATGTTACTCTGTTTCCATTCCCTTTTTCCCCATCTTTCACTTAAAAAAAAAAAAAAAAAGCGAAGTTTGGGACTTACACTAAAATGACTGCTTTTTCAATTAGGATGTTTCTCAAAAGCCTTGGAGCCAATAGAGGTGGGAATATTCCTGTGGGTTTAGAACAAGTGAGGTCACCAGGACATGGTCTTTTGCTGAATTTATGATTCATCCTTCAACAAGATTAGTCAGTACAAAGAAGTTGCTAAAATAGGTCACAGAAAGTTGATTTTATATGGTCGTATAGTTTCCACTGGTTACATTATTAAATCTTGGCCTGTGGAAGCTATTGGAAACCCAACATGCCTCATCGACAGCCCATACCCTCATTCTAACATTTCTGTGATTGCTCTATTAATATGGTTTATCTTTCTTGGCTAAAGAGAACTGTAGTCACTAATTTCACAGACTGCTGGAGTTACCTTCTTTTTTTTTTTTTTTTTTTAAGATTTTATTTATTTATTTGACAGAGATCACAAGTAGGCAGAGAGGCAGGCAGAGAGAGAGAGAGGAAGGGAAGCAGGCTCCCCGCTGAGCAGAGAGCCCGACGCGGGGCTCGATCCCAGGACCCTGAG